TCCTCATAATCACGTTCTCGCGATATTTAAACTGTTGGGTAAAAGAGGGGGAATTTATTGGAGGATGGGTGCTAATAGTCAAGGGGGGCACTAATTATTATTGTCCTGTACTGATTCTGCTGTAGGTTAAAACGTAGGCATGCTATGCATGCAGGAGTTATTTGTTTGGATATGTGGGTTGAAATTGAACACTTAGTAACTGGTGCTGCTGTCTGAATAATTGATGGCAAAAATAGACTGCATTGGTACCACTCTTCCTGCAGTCCCCTCCACAGCCCCATTTTGAACTCGTCACGCAACGCTTTCTCTCCAACATTGCGTGACGAGACCAAACAACAACCTCATTATAGCTCAAAGGCTATAATAATGCTTACTGTCACCTCTTTTTCAGAGATAAAGTCGCAATTATCTAGAATCTGGATACTGTTGAAGTGTATAGGGTTAAAAATTAACAAGTTAGTTATTTGATAAAACTGTATGAGAAACTTAAGGGGCTGAATTTCTGCATACATGTAAAGCTATATCTGCATACATATATAGCTATTTACATATAGCTATTTCTGCATACATGTAAAGCTATATCATTTCAAAATTTTACGGTATGTAAGATTCGTGATTGTTAATTTTATTGACTGCTCCAAACCTCAACATGCAGCATGGTTATTGATGAATCGATTTACGATAAAATTCAACAGCATATATCCCATTCTTAGAGTTTTCACATAGGCTTAATTAAAGAAATGTATTAAAGAAAAGCCCTTTTATTGTCTAAAGCCTTGCTCATTCATAAGCAAAATGAGTCCTGAAATGTTGGATCGCTTGCCAACGATTGTGTTCCCATTTCCTTTCGGGAACCAGCATATTGAAGCGACAAGTTTTCAAAAATACACCGATTAAAACAAAGAAAGGGACCCAATTATCCTGAACATGAGTATTGAATTACTTCCAAACAGTATTATCTCGTTTGGATCGATTTACAAGTGCACAATTGACGGAAATCTGAGACGTTCTGATCGCGACGGGAAAACCAGGAAAGTGACGTCCTAAACTTGTTTGGGAGAACAGCAACGCTAGCACCGGAAGTCGAATGGTGTCGTGTCCAGACTATTCCGCGCGCTCTCCCGTTCTGAAATGACGTTCCCGTCCTCTTGCTAAATCTCTCTATTAGTTTCTAGACATGTCTCCTCGTTTGGCTAGGCTTCTAATTTTTAATCAAAATAATTAAAGCAACATTTCATTAAAGAATTTCCGGTAAAGCCCAAACGACCGTGGGTTGCTATTAATGTTGTTTTGTTTAATCGGGTTTCATATGACACCGTTTGGCATCAGATTTTAATAGTTATTGTTACTAGTGGCCGGTAAGCTTCCAAGATTGAAAAAACCGCTACAAAATGCGATCCGAGTACACTGTTTCAAAATATTATGACTCCGTCCATTTTATTTCCCATGGCACCCTGGAAAATCCATCATGTCTACAAACCCTGAAAATTTTCTCAAATAAATGGGAATTTAGATCAACAAAGGTTCGAAAGTAATGTTGTCTCAACAGGAGATTATGTCACCTCCCGTTACGTCGAGCTTCCTATCAGAATTTCCTGGTAAATAGATTAAATTGATCGTGTTACAGTCTCGTTTTCTTGTTCAAGCGAAAGAAGGTTTAAGTCATTGGTTAAAATACCCGGGAAACTGGTCAAAGAAACAACAATTGTAAGGCTAGCTTCAAGCAATGAAAGCGAATCCACTGAGGGAAAAAGCAAAACCAGTATTAACAGAAATGAAATCTTTTGGATACTTGTTAATAACCTAAGAAACAAGTGAATAGATGAACGATCACATGTTAGAACTGCTAAACAGTACCCCTCTCAAGCAAAAAGCCTGCGACAATGAAATATGYTAAAGTATAAATCAATCAGCGAAATGCTTGTCATGGAGCTTCGTGCGTTTTCCCGATATAGCACCTCCAAAACAGTTACGGGCTGAACTGTTGAAGAAAGAATGAAGCCGGAGGTAGGGATGTTTCAACCTTTTTGTTTTAATCATATCATAACTGATTTATCGTTTATATAAGAATAAAAAATAACTGCAAAGCAGGATTAACGAAATTTCGAGCAATCGAGCACGTGTTAACGGGAATGCGAGCATGCGAGCAGTTGCAAAATCTTGCGAACACAAGCAAGTGAGCACGCGTGTTATTTTTGCGAGCAGTTCGAGCAAAGGCCAAATTTTGCGAGCACTTGTAAATTGAATGGGACCATTCGATACCTCTACTATACACCGAATCGAAATATGGCGGCCAATTTTAATTACCATTGTTCTGGACTTAAGCCTTGGTCAAACGGCGCATGATAGTCGATGATAATTAATTCTCTTCAAACTATCATCAACTATCGCCAACTATCATTCGCATGGTCAAACGGCCAAAAAAGTTCGTGATAGTTGATGATAGTTCACCGGCAGTCGCGCGAGCAAAGTCACGCGAGCAGCTAGTTCCAGGCTCTTTCCGCGTAAAATGTGAACACTAACATGGCTTCGCGTGAGACAAACAAACTTGTTGAAGTATGAATTTATCACGACGAAAGAGGGCGGCAGCTTGCTTACTAGTAATCGATTTGTTNTGGTATGATGCACGATTCTCGCAGTAGATAGCGCTATTTAAGCAATAGCGATTTTCGAGGAAAACAGCTAACCAAAAACTATCATTAACTATCATACGCGTGGTCAAACGAGAAAAACTATCATCGACTATCATGAAGAATTTGAACAAGCTCAAAATGAATTGGTAGAGCGCTGCACTAGTATCGCAGAGGTCAGTAGTTCGAATCCCGTACAGGCCTGATTTTTTTCAGGTCTGATTTTCGCTATTGCTTAAATAGCGCTATCTACTGCGAGGATCGTGCATCATATGTATCTAATACCGCAGTACAAAATATATGAACTTCATATATTTCATTGTATCTCATTTATCACTTTCACGGGTTTATTACGAATCAACTTAACGGCCTGCTCCCAGTTGGCTTGTTAGCTCAATTGGTAGAGCGCTGCACTAGTATCGCAGAGGTCAGTGGTTCGAATCCCGTACAGGCCTGATTTTTTTCAGGTCTGATTTTCGCTATTGCTTAAATAGCGCTATCTACTGCGAGGATCGTGCATCATATGTATCTAATACCGCAGTACAAAATATATGAACTTCATATATTTCATTGTATCTCATAGTGCATGACAGTAGGTGGTCAAACGAAAGCGCGCGCTTCAACTATCATCGACTATCATCAATTATCATCGACTATCATGCGCCGTTTGACCAGGGCTTTACTTGCTTCTCACACAGGTAATAATCCTTTGGTGTTTCCACGTGAAGACGAGGCTAGTAAGTCCAGAATAAAGGTAATTCAATATTGAACGCCATATTTCGATCCGGTGCATTCACCGAAGTAGAAGCGGCCACTGATGGATATTTACCGAGCCACGAAGCCACCGACACACAGGTGAATAATTGTTTTGGTATATAATAAAACAGTTAGATAGTATGTAGCGCAAAAATGTGATTTTAACTCACATGTTCCTACAACCACGAAAAGTTTTTCGGGCACTAATCCCGCGCGCGTTCCTCTGAGGTGAATAGAAAAGGATATTCGGAGTTTGAGTAGCCATCAGAGTAAGCCTCTAACGCAGTCCACTTCTTAGTATATACTTATCAAAACTGAACAAACCTTTTGTATTGACGTCTTCGTTGGGAATTGAATTGATGATGCATAATGGTTCATTGCTTGCCCATCTACAATCTACAGCTGTACAAATAGCAACCTTCACCGTGTAATTTCTGTTTGGTACAAGATTGTTTACAATTATTTCCTGTGAATCCGAGCCATTGGAACCCTCTTGTAACTTTTTCAGTGACGTTTTGACCATTTTAGTAGTGTTACCATAGGAAATCCTAAACTCGCGAGGTATACCATTCCAGGTGTTGACTGGCGGGACCTGGGGAAAAAGTAAAGTTACAAATGATAAAAAAAAAAAAAAACGAGTCGAACCTGGATTAAGCGGTCACCCACGGTCAATGGCGGGCCGATCGACCACTATGTACAGGTGGACTCCACAAAAACGCCATTTTATGCCATAATTAATATACAAAAACTCGCTAAAAATACAATGAATATTGATTTCGGGAGATAGACATTGACAAAAGTTTACTTAAAAGATCATTCTTAGTTTTATCTCGGTGGTTCCAGCCTAAGTGACCCTTCAATACGGGTGGAGGAAAATACAAACAGGACTTCGAAAACAAACAGCTTACAGTAATACGGTGCCTCTTAATGCAGGTTCGACTGTATCTTAATTTAATTCTTGTAGTAGGGCTTGTTGAAAAAAAAAAAAAAAAAAAAAACGGCAAAGAAATTTCAGTCCAGACTCTATTGCCAGTTTTCACTGTCACACCATCACCAAAACCGTTGAACAAAAAAAGGTCAAAAATCAAGAGATAAAATAAGATGAATATTCAAAGATTCACGCTTTGTAAAAAACCACCATGAGAATAAGGATGATGAAAATGAAACCCCAGTTGAAGATAAAGCCACAGGGCTCCACACTAACGGTAGCCCACTAGCCACAGACTAGTAGTATAAATTCAGTTTTGCCTAGTGGTTTTCGATTTCCACTAGCCAGCTTGGCTTGTAAACAGACTGAAATTCTCGTAACAACTAAAATCATCTAAGATGCCACTAGCCACTTGGCTAGTAAGTTGAAAAGTTAGTGTCGAGCCCTGTCAGTCCATGCAGTTCCTACTTTCTTCACATAAACTAAATATATAATTAAGTCAAACTGAGTCAATAGAAATTGTAAGTTGAAAAAAAAAAAAGAAAAAAAAAGAAAACATTCCAGCTCCCTATTTGTTCTTACAATTAGACTGTTTTCCCGCAGTTTCTTTTGACTTGTGAGACAGATTACACTGGAACAGAAAATTAGTAATAAAAGAGACCTTGGTAGTAAAATGGTGAATGCGGAGACGTTCTTTTGTGACATGCGCTGTGTCTTCTACCTGAGGAAGGAGTCTTCAATTCTAATACTGACATTTCAAACCTATGTGGCTTTTTTATGCAAAAATGCTTAAAAAAAGCTAAATGAAGTTTTATTTAACCTTTTATGTTTCCAACAAATTCCCCAATTTTTTAACAACACACTACAACAGTAAAGACAGTTGTTTACCTTGAACCCAATAGTCACATTATGTGGCAACCTATTGTTTGCCTGACACCTTGTTGGCGCCTCACTTGGTACTACAACATGAGAAAACATTATAACAGAGTTGAAAAATAACTGTTTAATCAAAACATGTCATTTCAAGCTCAGAAGATGTTTGTATGTACAAGTAATAAGCATAGAATATCTTTCGCGAAACCTCTAATACTGGTTGAGTTGTTAGCAAGAGTGCAATTTTCAATAAGAAAACTCGTGCCTTTCTCTAAACCGATTAAATTCAATACTATGACCAATACTGCAAAAGGTCACTTGAGTCTAAACGTGTTTCACAACAAGTCAGTTACCAAAAGTCAACTGTGTCTTTTTGTGGCTCTTGTGTTTGGGTTTTGCCCTACATGTGTTTCAGCACAGCTAGCTGCCTAAATTTATACCGTAGGCAGCTACTTTATATAGAGAAAAGTTACTAAAATGCTTGATTTGCCCACCATTTCAGCTCAGGCTGTTAGTTATGTAGATTGACCCACTCAAAGAGTTTCTTAAGCTGATGTTTGAGTGTTAACCCTTTATCAGTCAGAGCTCTGACAAAGGACTAACACTCCAAACATCAACTTCAGAAACTCTTTACAGTGGCCAATTTACATTTATCAACTCAGTTGGTAAAACCAAATTATCTTGCTATATTCCCCCACTGACACAAGACCACAGTTTTTTGAGAAACTTACCAGGGCCGTAGCTAGCATGAGGCCAGACGAGGCAATTGCCTTGACTTGATTTTGACCCTTTTTTTTTTTGACTGACTTTTCTAAAGACAAATGCCACGGAAAATGCTTAAAAGAGCATTTCTGAGCCTCTAGATTTCAAAATTTTCTGGGGGGGCATGCCCCTAGACCCCCCCTCGCAGCTCGCCCCTTTGGCGCTCAAAACTTGCCTTGTCTTGTTCTGAAGTCTGGCTACAGCCCTGCTTACTCCCTTTATTTTGGGCCATTAACTGCTTATTTTAACTTTGAACTCTTGCTATCTCCTTATAAGCTCACAAGATTATTGTTTGCCATTCTTCTGATTGGTTGTTATGACTATAATTATACTTTTAACATTAGCAAGCCACAATCAAAAACCAGGAAAGAGCTATTTGAATGATAAATTTCCATGCATGAGTCAAAACGAACACCTTTTTGGAACAAGGTAGAAACAAAAATCCTTCCTTACCTCCTTCTTCGGACCTCACTTCAGTGATTACAGGAGGGCCTTTTGTGTCCTGATCAGCTGCCATACGGCAGGTTATTTGGAAAATATATCTTGCAAAGGGTACAACACTGTCACTGAAGGAGGTATTATCCCTCACTACTTTGTTGTATTGAATTCCCTTTTAAAACAGAGTAAGACAGTTAAAATGATGCTACTCAATATCATAGAAAACTTAATATAGATAATAAATCAAGATCACATTCAATGAGTATAACATTTTAATTCACTTTGCTTTACCAATCAATTTATCAGATATTAGTATATAATTATTATTATATATAACCATTTAACTCCCAGATGGGATTAATAATATGTAGCGTCTCCCTATAATTAATATCTACACATTATCTGGCAGACAAGAGAGGAGAATACTCATTCTCAAACTTATCAGGTAGAAGTTATCCTGATCTAACACCAAATTCTTGTAAAACATTAACAAGGAAATGTGTAGCAGCTGGAGGGGGAATAGTAGATCTTAAGAGTTATAAAGAGTTAACAAGTGGATATAAGCATTGAGTGCACACTCTGATTGGCTCCACAAACTCCAAATGTCTCCTGAGAAACTTACACGATTTAATTTATGCACAAAAATATTTTGTTAAAATCATCTTTTAGTGCTATATTGTCTCACTGTTTAGGAATTAAATATTTTTTTCCCAGGTGTTGTGGATATATTTGACAGATAATTTATGCAATTATTAAAGCCTTCATTTGACGTGAAAATATGTTCCTACTGTATTTAGTCCTAGACATTACTTGTTTCTTGAAGCTCACAGCTTTCCTTAAGCTTAAGGCACTCTCAGAAAATTTTTTGCATTTTGGAATGGATGATGTCCATGGACAAATATCTAGGCATATTTTTGTGCCAGATGAGGGGCTTTGTTCACATAATTATTCCATACATGACAATAGTTACATATATTACTTCATTTTTAACCATGCCTCTCCTTAAGGACCTAAGGATCTATAAGATTTCCAGTAAATTCAAGAATTGTTTACAACTGTAAATACCTGGCCAGTTAGTACTCGAGTGTAATTGTAACTGATTTGGTACTCCAGACGAATATCGCTCCTCACCAGGCGTGGGCGATCCCATGTAAGTGTAAAGGTGTCTCGTGTTGACACAGCTGCCACATTCTCCAGAGGGGGGCACTTCTCTTTGGTAAACAAAATCATAAAATTTTTACATCGTTACCCTTGTGTCACACTGTTATGGGTACCTTTCTTATCTACTTATTAATCATGCAATTAAAATGTCATCACTGCATCTCTAGTGCAGTGATGACATTTCATATTACAGCTGGTTATAAAATAATTGATAATTTCAAATAAAACCTACCATGGTGGTTTAAATTCCAGTGTTTTGAAGTCTCAACTGTTCCAAACTGATTTTTAGATATTACTTTAGCACAGAAAATGTCACACCTAACACCTTTATGCTTGCAAGGAATATCATGATTATTGAGGATGTCTTTTCCCACAACACACGACAATGTTTCATCAGGAGACTTGGGTATTTTCTTGCAATACACTGGACTGTCATATACACAACTCCAAATACTGGAATCATAGTGCATACTGACAAAAAGTTCATATGTCACATTCACTTCCTGAGCTCTCCATTGCACACTCAACACTTGTGGCCTTGGGAGTCCATAATTATCCACGAGTTCCACTGTTTCTTCACTGATCCGTTTAGGTTTAACTGTAAGTCAAGGATTATGATCTTTTCAAAAATGATTTCGGAATGATAAATTGACCATAGATTGAAATAATAAAGCTCTCTCAATTACAGATAAGCTCTAGCTAAAAGGTACTCCAACTGGAAAAAAATTTTTTAATAATAACAATAAGAATAATTTATTTCTTA